ATTCTCAGCGCAGCAGCCGAAGCAAAGAAGTCCGCCGGGATCTGAACTCGGCAGAAATCGAATCGACGGCAAACCGGTCATTAACAGGTCGCCGCGCACTGACCGTCGGCCAATCGACGTAACGAAAGCAATGGTATGAGAGGAAGAAGACAAAAAATAACATGGTTTAATGACCCTCAACCGACCCCCACAACCCCCGAGTAACTGCACGTCGATTCGAAGTATGTGTGTCTGTACTGAAAGCCTTTGCAGCCCGCGCGGCTTCGACACCGAAGCGCCTCCGCACGTGAACGACAATAATGATTGCCACCGTCAGCTACCCCTATATACCCCAACCACGGCAACACACACGGCGAGCTTGATTGTGCACCCATGGGTCCCCGACAATAACAACACACGTGATGGACCAGGCCGCGCAAAAGGACGGTTAGCATCACCCGGAACTGGAAATTTCGCCTCGCTCCGAACCTCGTGTCCACGCTCTGCCGCTGTCAGTAGGAAGGCTAGCCGTGGGTGCAGCACCTCACAAGTCGTCGTGGCGCGGGCCCCAACAGACCCCTGCGAACACCGATTGCCCCTATCGACCAAACTACCTGATTTCGAAAGGCGAAGGTAGAAAAGAGCGCAACTCCAACACCCAGGCGGCGTGGAGAAGAAAATTACAACCATGGATGGAAGACCCTCCCGGAACCCCAACAAATCCCGGTCCGCGAAAATGAGAAGGCCATCTCTGACTTGTGCGATGGCAATGTTGACACCTGACCGCGCGAACCGCAAAGCACGCCGAGGCAGAAGCATGTCGGCGACTGAACCTCACCTGTCGCAACGATTCCTTTCATCGGAGGGCAGCGAAGATCAACGGCAGACTGCATTTCGACCCGGCCACAGAAACCGTCGTCAACCCGAATAAACTCCTTTAAGGGCAATCCTCAAGACAAAAATTTTTGCGCACCACCAGGCCACCGCGCACGAAAACGCACGGGGAAGTCTAAGCCGTTGAAAATGACGGTCAGAATAACGCAGAGTCCCGAAGCTCGCAGGAGCCGTCGTTCAAGCGGGCCTTGGAGCACCAAGGAGCCGGTTTTCGCGCGGCCGGTGTCATTTGAAGGGAGCGTCAGCGGGGGCACGCAAGGAACGCCATTTTCGGGCGCACAGAAGGAAGGCCATCGCGCTTTCAATTGGTCATCGTGTGACAACACTCGCAGAACAGAGGGTAGCGGTGGATGTACCACTAGACAATTCGGCCCAGCGCGACCCCGAATTGACCCCTACAGACACAGACGGAGAGCAATGTTGCGCACCAATACTCCTCGCGCAATCGACTCGCACGCAAAGGTCCACGCATCATGCGAAGGACTGTTAGATTCCCACGGATCCTCAAAGTCCGCCGGGATCCGAACTCGGCGGAATGCGAGTGCAGCGAGTAACAGGTTTTCGCATGGCTGCAGCTATTGGAACGGGTGGTTGGCGTTTGCACAGAAGCAGGCCATGCTTGGGGGCACCCCCCACAAACCCTCATAAGCCATTTCTTGAATCGAGCATTTTGCGCACCCCTGGGCCTCCGACTTCCAGAACACGTCGGGATCGACGGCAGACCAACAACGGGCACGTCTGCTGTCATCGACGGCAACCCCCACAAACCCCTACACGGGCATTCATGATGGCGAAGAATTTTGCGCACCAATACTCCTCCTGGAAGAAACTCGCACGGAAAGGTTCACGCCTCATGCGAAGGACGGTTAGATTCCCACTGTTAGATTTCCGCGGTCAGATTCCCGTAAATAACATGTCGAAATGCAGAAATGGATGGAAGACCCCCTCCCCTGCAACCCTTCCAAACCCCGACTCCGCCAGTCGACAAGGCGAACCCCGATTCGCGCGCCGGGAACGTCGACGTGCGACAGCGCGAACCGGAAAGCGCTCTGGAACACGAGCACGTCCGCGACGAGACTCCGCGCTCCGCGACGGTCCAAACTCGTAGGGGGCAACATAGATCGACGACAGACCGATGAAGGTCACGTCTGCTGTCACCGACGGCCACCCCCATAAACCCCTACGCGGGCATTCCAGGCGGCGAGGAATTTTGTGCACCAATACTCCTCCCTGGACCAACTCGCACGAAAAGGTCCACGCCTCATGCGAAGGACGGTTAGATGCATGCGGATTCTCAAAGTCCGTCGGGATCCCAACTTGGCGGATGCGAGTGCAGCGAGTAACAGGTTTTCGCGCGGTTGCAGCTATTGGAACGGGTGGTTGGCATGTGCACAGTAGCTGTTGATGTCTGGCCGCACCCCCCATAAATCCCTAAACGCCAATTCTTGAAGCGAGCACTTTGCGGAATGAAGGGCCCGCGACTTCCAGAACACGGCGGGATCGACGGCAGACCGACAACGGACATGTTTGCAGCAACCGATGCCAACCCCCGTAAACCCCTACACAACCATTCTAGACGGCGAGGAATTTTGCGCAGCAGAACTCCTCCCGAAAGCAACGGGCACGCAACGGTCCACTCCTCATGCGAAGGACAATTTGATTGTTGCGGATCCTCAAAGTCCGCCGGGGTCCGAACTTGGCGGATGTGTGTGCAGCGAGCAACTGATTTTCTTGTGGCTGCAGCTATTGGAACGTGAGGTTCGCGTTTGCACAGAAACAGACGATGCTTGGCCGCACCCCCCATAAACCCCTACAAGCCATTTCTTGAAGCGAGCATTTAGCGAACCCCAGGGCCCCCAACTACCAGAGCACGTCGGGATCGACGGCCGACCGACAACGGACACGTCTGCTGCCACCAACGGCAAACCCCTTAAACCCCTACAAGGGCATTCCAGACGGTGAGGAATTTTGCGCACCAATACTTCTCTCGCAATCAAGTCGCACGCAATGGTCCACGCGTCATGCGCAGGACGGTTGGATTCCAGCGGATCCTCAAAGTCCGCCGGCGTTTGCACAGAAACAAAAGATGCTTGGCCGCACCCCCCATACACCCCTACAAGCCATTTCTTGAAGCGAGCATTTAGCGCACCCCAGGGCCTCCGACTACCACAGCACGTCGTGATCGACGATAGACCGACAACGGACACGTCTGCTGCCACCAACGACAACCCCCTTAAACCCCTACAAAGGCATTCCAGACAGCGAGGAATTTTGCGCACAAACACTCCTCTCGCAATCAAGTCGCATGCAATGGTCCACGCGTCATGCGTAGGACGGTTGGATTCCAGTGGATCCTCATAGTACGCCGGGATCCGAACTTGGAGGATGCAGGTGCAGCGAGTCACAGGTTTTCGCGTGGCTGCAGCGGTTGGAACGGTTGGTCGGCGTTTGCACAGAAACAGACGATGCTTGGCTGCACCCCCCATAAAACCCTACAAGCCATTTATTGAAGCGAGCATTTACCGCACCCCACGGCCTCCGACTACCAGAGCACGTCGTGATCGACGGCAGACCGTCAACTGACACGTCTGCTGCCACCAACGGCAACCCCCTTAAACCCCTACAAGGGCATTCCAGACGGCGAGAAATTTTGCGCACCAACACTCCTCTCGCAATCAAGTTGCACGCAATGGTCCACGCGTCATGCGTAGGACGGTAGGATTCCAGCGGACCCTCAAAGTCCGCTAGGATCCGAACTTGGCGGATGCGAGTGCAGCGAGTCACAGGTTTTCGCGCGGCTGCAGCGGTTGGAACGGTTGGTTGGCGTTTGCACAGAAACAGACGTTGCTTGGCCGCATCCCCCATAAACCCCTACAAGCCATTTCTTGAAGCGAGCAATTAAAGCACCCCAGGGCCTCCGACTACCAGAGCACGTCGGGATCGACGGCAGACCGATAACGGACACGCATGATGGCACCGACGGAAACCCCCGTAAACCCCTACAAGGGCATTCCAGACGGCGAGGAATTTTGCGCACCAACACTCCTCTCGCAATCAAGTCGCACGCAATGGTCCACGCGTCATGCGTAGGACGGTTGGATTCCAGCGGATCCTCAAAGTCCGCCGGGACCCGAACTTGGCGGATGCGAGTGCAGCGAGGCACAGGTTTTCGCGCGGCTGCAGCGGTTGGAACGGTTCGTCGGCGTTTGCACAGAAGCAGATGATGATTGGGCGCACCCCCTGTAAACCCCTACAAGCCATTTCTTGAAGTGAGCATTCTGCGCACCCCAGGGTGTCCGACTGCCAAAACTCGTCGGGATCGACGGCACCCCGATAACGGACACGCATGATGGCACCGACGGAAACCCCCGTAAACCCCTGAATGGGCATTCCGTACGGCGAGGAATTTTGCGAACCAATACTCCTCTCGGTAGCAACTCGCACGCAAAGGTCCACACCTCATGCAAAGGACGGTCAGTTTCCTGCGGATCCTCAAAGTCCGTCGGGATCCGAACTTGGCGGATGCGAGTGTAGCGAGTAAAAGGTTTTCGCGCGGTCGCATGTATAAGAACGGGTGCTTGGCGTTTGCACAGAAGCAGGCGATGCTTGGGCGCACCCCTCCATAGACCCCTATAAGTCATTTCTCGAAGCGTGCATTTTGCGCAACCCAGGGTTTCCGACTAGCAGACCATGTCGGACAGTCCGGGGTCTTGAACGGGGCGGTTGGATTTGCGCGGATTCCCGAACTTCCCGAAGTCCGCCGAGATCCGAATTTGGATTGTAGAAGTTGACATCACCACGGCCTTGCGACTGCCTCAGAAGGTTATTCCAAGAATTCTTTCAGAAGAAATTGATTAAACAAATGTTTAGACCGTAGTTTGAACAAACCAAAGTGTTGGATAGGCCCTTACGTTCGTGCGGAGAGGAAATAAAGCGACAGACGCGCTTTGTGTCATAACGTGCGCCGGCAATGGAAGCTCACGGCGTTGGATATGTGGTTTTAACAGCGCGAGTCGATAGCTCCGAACACCCTGCCGGCCGCCACCGTGCGAGGGTCGCAACACGAAGTTCGGATCCCGGCGAACTTCGGTTGTTGGCGCTTGTGATATGGCGAGCTGCACAAGGAGTTTGTTGGCGTCATCATGATGATGCCGACAAACTCCTTGCGCAGCTCGCCATATCGCAAGCGCCAACAAGCGAAGTTCGCCGGGATCCGAACTTCGTGTTGCGACCCTCGCACGGTGGCGGCTGGCAGGGTGTTCGGAGCTATCGACTCGTGCGGGCAAGTGGGGGCGCCGTTGCAACTGCAAGCCCGAACTACAACATGATTGTTGGTGTGTTGTCATGTGCGCGCGCTCTTCCCCATGGCCACGCGACGGCATCACCATGACACTTCACAGCCATAGAAACGGTGTGTTTCACGACACAAGCGAGAGTGAACAGCATGGAGGCCGCGTTGTTCGATGTTGAACGAGGCCCTCGACACAACCGAGAGTGAACAGCATGGGGGCCGCGTTGGTATCGAGGCGGGGACCGCGTTGTTCGATGTTGAACGAGGCCATCGACTCGAGCGGTGATCACGCCGACAAAACGGTGTGCTTCACGACACAACCAATGATCACGGGGTGTTCTCCACAACGCAAGCAGTGATCATGCCGACAAAACGGCATCGTCATTGTGGCGACTTGCGATGTCGTTCTCCATCGCGCGCAGACCGCTTGCGCGTGCTCTGGCATGGAGCCCTCAGATGTCGCGCGCACATTCCTTTCGCTGGTCGCAAGGAGTGACGTAGCGCATCGCTCACGACCAGCGCCAGCAGCTCGTGCTCAACATCGGTGGGCTCTAGGACGGATGATCTGCACGCTGTGTGCGCGGGATCGGTTTGACACGTGGTCTCCACGGCGACAAAGACACATGTTTAGTGGCGAGACGTCTTCCCGGTGTTGGACACCAGCCGTCTTAAGCGTAAGAGACAGCCAATGCACGGCAGGTGGATGATCGAGAACCACGCGCGCATCCGAGTCGTGCTCGCAAAGTCGCCCCCCCCCCTCCGCCCCCTGTGTGAGTGAAAGATTCACTCACACAGGGGGGGGGAGGCGACTGTGCGAGCACGACAGGGATCTGCGCGCGGTTCTCGATCATCCACCTAGCGTGCAGTGGCTGTCTCTTACGCCGAGTAGGGGTGGCGCTCAACAACGGGAGGACGTTGGCGCTCAACAACACGAGGACGTCGTCGATCCGTGTTCAGGTTCTCGTCACTGAACATGTGGCTCTGTCGACTACGTGGCAACACAAGGGCAACCGGTGTCGTCTCGATCCCGCGCATATATCTGCGCGGGGGTGGTTCACATCGAAAGGGACAGGCAATGAAGTCATGAAAGGAATGAACGAGCGAGGATGAACACAGAACAAGAAAACGGATCACAGAAAAGGAATGAACGAGCGAGAGTGAACAACATGGAGGGATGGACGCCGCGGACTCGAATCCCTTCACGTCGACAGCGGTATCCGCCACCTGCTATACGTGGCACGATGCAACGCGTCTTATGCGCACACAAGCATGCACCTCAACCCCAACGCCAGCAGTTGTAGTCGATGGAGGACACGTGGCCAGACAAAACAGCACCGTACCTTGAATGGCGCGGTCGGCCACGTCACGAGGGCGAAGCGCAGACGACGGCAGACACGCGATGACGCGGAACACAAAGAGGGGATGTCGAAGCTCAATCGACAGACGCGATGGCGGGGGTAAATCAAGACGCCCGCTCTCGGAGACACGAGGTGCGACAACGGATTTTGCGCAGGCGATGGAGGAAGTCGCTAACATGGCATCGCGCAAACCAGCTCGTCGAGTAGGAGACGCAAATGGGCAGCACAAAACCCCACTCAGATGCTCATCTGTCGTCGCACCCCACGCCAGGTTCGAAAATGCACGTCGGACGCCCTCGCAGGAAGTGCCATAGACACCATGTTAGAAGACGCACTATGTCCGTCCGATCCACAAATCGGACGGCCAGAATGCGACTTCGCAATGTGCACTGTGGAAAACCGGGCCCAACCGCCTCCGCCCACCCCCCCCCACCAAAACCCTCCAGACGCATACCGAAAAACACCCCCCCCCTTTGGCGGGGCCCGCGAACGCGAACAAAAGAACGCAAGGGGCCTGGGATGACGACCCTTTTCCATGACGCCCAGGAAGGCCCTGTTCGAAGGGACTTCTTTTTTGCCATGTCGCGCGCACCGGATCCCCCTTAGCGGGAAATTTGACGTGTGGCCACCGTTCGATGCGCGGAATGACGTGTGGCCAACCTGTCGAGGCGTCAAACGGACCCTGTGAGGCATTCCGAAATGGAAGACATCAAGAAGGGGACCCGACCCACGCGCGCCTACAAATACGAGCGGCCCTCGGGGCGTGAACGCTGCTTTTTGCATTTTTTGCTGGGTAGATGCTGCCAGACGGACGCCTCACACCACCATTGTCGTCAACACCATCGCCCCGCCCAGCTGGAGCACCATAGGTAGCGAAGCGAACGGACAACCGTTCTAAACCCTGGTCGCCACCTTTTCTACGATGCATCTCCCTCCACGTCCCTAGTCGCTGCCCTCGTCATCTTCGACATAATGCGTCGACCTCCTGTCGGCTCAACGACGACATCTCGATTCAGGATCAGCGCATCCGACGCTCCACGCATTACCATCTTCAACACAAAGCGCACGGCACAAGGTCACAGCATTCCTGTCTCGATCGACGACGGGATCCGCACGCATCTTCACTCGACACTCTCACAAGGCGAGTGCACACGAACCCGGGACGTGTGTGTTTCTGTGAGCGCTTGTGGGCGGCTTTTCTGCTGACACATCAGCGCTGTTTGGACGAGTGTGTGTTTGCATGTGCGTGTGTGGTTGTGTTTGCTTGTGCGAGACAAGTGTGTGTTTGCATTTGCACATGCGGTTATGTTTGTGTTTGCTTGTGCGTGAGGAGTGTGTCTTTGCATATGCGCATGCGGTTGATTGTGTGTTGGAGTGTCTTTTTTTCGGGTTTTGCGTATGTAGTGTCTCTACTTGAGGGGCGTGTTTGTGTACGAGGCGTGTGTGCGCGTGTATGTGCTTGTGTGTGTGCGTGTGTCTGTTCATGTGCGTGTGTGTTGTTTCGCCGATTGAAAGCGCGGAGGTTGTCGCCAAGGTGTGCGGCCATGGTTGAATGAATTGTTTCGCATCCCGAGGGTACTCCTGCTGTATTCTGGCGTTGAGCGACATGCGTGCGTAATATCCGGCGATTCCGTACGCTCTAATGAAGAACTGTAATCTGTTGTTCATCTATCCATCCATTGTATCTCTGTTGCTGCGTGGTTCGACCAATCACACTTTGGGCAGGTCGAGGGCTACGGCATTCAAACATCAAACAGGAACAATGGAGTGTGGTCAGTGATCAGGATGTGATGAACTGATGAATGCCGATAGCTCTGATCGAATGCGCTGTGGCCGTTCACGAAACATAAACACCCCGCGCTCGATCGGATGTTTCTCCGTTCATCATTTTCATACACAACAAGAGCACACGAGATCCACACGTTTGTGTGTGGATCTCATGTGATCTTGTTGTGTATGAAACTAATGAATGGAGAAACATCCGATCGAGCACGGGGTGATTATGTTTTGTGACCGACCACAGCCCGTTCGATCGGAGCTATCAGCATTCGTCAGTTCATCACATCCTAACCACTGACCATATTCCATTGTTCCTGTTTGCTGTCCCAACGCAGTAGCCGTCGATCTTCCCAAAGGATGATTAAACGAAACACGCGGCGACAGAGATACAATAGATGGGTAGATAGACAGCATTCCCTGATTTGACATTATTCATTATTGATTATAGACAGTCCAGAGCACAAGGTAGATAATAACCCTTGATTATATGCAGTCCAGATCGATGGAGCACGATCAGATCACTCTCGACATTGTCACCGCGTGTTTCGATCGGCCGTTAATCGGGCAGTTCTCATGAGCTGAGTAACTGATGCATGATGAAAGCTCCGATCGAGCGCGAGGCGACCGGTCACGAAACATAATAACTACCCGGCAGATCGGATCTTTCTCCACTCATCAGATCAATCATCCACACATGAGTGGTGACATCGGCCGTACCGCACGTGAGTGATGAACAGGACCATCACGATTGATCACGATACCGCCGCTGATCTGCCGAATGGATGATCAATCAAAGCAGGAGGTGACATTGTCGGGACAGCAGACGCACCCAGTCGACCAATCGCCGAACACGAATAGAGAGCTCGCGATCGGTCGATTGATCGCGTGTGCTGTCTCAACGTTGTCACTGCGTGTGTGTTTTTCGCCAGTATCAAATGTAATAACAAAACACACGTGGCACCGTGCGCGAACGACCAACCTGGCGGCGAGCGACCGATCCATCACACTCGTTGATGTACCCCGAGCGAACAGTAGATTGGTCAATAGATCCACCACTACCAACATCACTGAACGACTGTTCGGACTGCGGTCGGACCACCGGTTGATCCAGCAGTCCACCAACCACACAGCCGAACGTGTGTTTGCGTTGCAACAGTGGCATCACCCTCTGCGCGATCGCCCAACCAACAGGCATACCACCGATCCAGCAAACTGGTTGACAGGAGAGCGTTGGCACAAGTAATTGATTAGTTGATTGATCGACTTTTCGGTTTGTGGTTGGCCAATTAGCTGATTGATCGGCCAGTCGCCGACCAGGGCACCGACATGCCAGCCGAGCGGTTCACTTTTCTCGCCCCGATTGCACTGCATTCGACCTGCCTCATTGTCCATTGGTTGTACACAGCACGCAGGGCAATTAGTCCACCACACGGTAGAAACCCGTGAAAAAGGTCGATCCCTGTTCGAGAATGGACAAAAGACAGTTCGTGACGACGTTGTTGCACATCGAACGTTGCTGGCCATCGAACCTTGTTTGGCATCGAACCTGGCGGTTCACGCCTTTCGCAAGACCTAACACGCGGTGCAACCCCAGTGGGCAACCACAGCGGTGGACCTGTGAAAATGTGAAGTTCGCTGGAATCCGAACTTCAAGAAAGAGGGGAAGGCGAGTTTGATAGACAACTGTTTCTCTCCCACCGCATTTCGCCAAGTACGGATCCCTGCGAACTTCAGGTTCTTGCCTTTCCTAAAACCCAACTCGAGTTGCCATCCCAGTGCACAACCACAGCAGTGGACCTGTGAAAATGTGAAGTCCGCTGGAATCCGAACTTCAAGAAAGGATGGAAAGGCGAGTTTGACAGACAGTTGTTTCTTTCCCACGGTATTTCGCCAAGTACGGATCCCGGCGAACTTCAGGTTCTCGCCTTTCGTAAAACCCATCTCGAGTTGCGACCCCAGTGCACAACAACAGCACTGGCTCGGTGGGCATCGAAGTGTTGGCTGACATCGAACGCCACTGGACGGCAAACCTCGTCGGTCATCGAACCTTGTCGGTCATCCAACGACGAACTTTTTGCAGCCACCACACGACAGCGGGGGACCTGTGAAAATGTGAAGTCCGTCGGGATCCGAACTTCAAGAAAGCACGGGAAGGCGAGTTTGATAGACATCTGTGTCTCTCCCACGTAATTTCGCCAAGCTCGGATCCCGGTGGACCTCCGGTTCACGCGTTCCGCAAGACCCAACACGCAGTGCAACCCCAGCGGGCAACCACAGCGGTGGACCTGTGAAAATGTGAAGTCCGCCGGAATTCGAACTTCAAGAAAGAGGGGAAGGCGAGTTTGATAGACAACTGTTTCTCTCCCACCGCATTTCGCCAAGTACGGATCCCAATGAACTTCAGGTTCTTGCCTTTCGTAAAACCCAACTCGAGTTGCCACCCCAGTGCACAACCACAGCAGTGGACCTGTGAAAATGTGAAGTCCGCTGGAATTTGAACTTCGAGAAAGAATGGAAAGGCGAGTTTGACAGACAACTGTTTCTTTCCCACGGCATTTCGCCAAGTTCGGATCCCGGGGAACTTCAGGTTCTCGCCTTTCGTAAAACCCAACTCGAGTTGCAACCCCAGTGCACAACAACAGCACTGGACCTGTCAAAATGTGAAGTACGCCGGGATCCGAACTTCAAGAAAGAATGGAAAGGTGAGTTTGACAGACAACTGTTTCTCTCCCACGGCATTTCGCCAAGTACGGATCCCGGCGAACTTTATGTTCTTGCCTTTTGTAAAACCCAACTCGAGTTGCAACCCTAGTTCACAACCACAGTGGTGGACCTGTGAAAATGTGAAGTCCGCCGGAATCCGAACTTTAGGAAAGAATGGAAAGGCGAGTTTGATAGAAAGTTGTGTCTCTCCCACGACATTCCGCCAAGTTCGGATCCCAGCGAACTTCAGGTTCTTGCCTTTCGTAAAACCCAACTTGCGTTCCAACCCCAGTGCACAACCACAACGAGGGACCTATGTCGTTTGATTGCTCGCCAACTATGTTTACGAGTGTCAGAGTCCCCGTGTGTGTCGTTTGGAATTTGCACGTGGTGTGTAGGGCGCGCAATGGATGGGACCTTCTCGACACCACGAATCTTTGAGTCGATCTTCTCGACACCACAAACCATGAGTCCCCAAACGCACATTCGTTTGGCAGAACCGTTTCCTCCTTGCGCGAGATCAGTGCGGCATTTCAATGGTGTGACTACGATCCACGGAGCGACCGTAGAGGACTTCGACGAGGACCCCTGGATGACCGTCGTCCCATGCAGGGACGCGCATATTGACAAATGGTGCGATGGGAATTGGGCCACGATGGAGAGTCGCTGCCCTTGGGCAAGCCATTACAAATTCGCCAACATGTTGGAGTTCGGGAACCTCATCCCGCTGTCTGACGCTGTCCTCGGACACAAGTTCCTAAACCACATGCGCAGAGCGCTGGGCTGCATTAGCCGCCATTTCAGCCGCCTCGAATGCCACTACGTCAGCTCGTCGCCACGAACTTGGGGAGGATCGCGGAAACAAGAGTTGCTGGACTGCGCTCGTCACTGCTCGTTCCTGGGCTAGTACCCGCTCCGGTGCCCCGGAAATTCTCCACAAGTTGTGTCATACTGTTGTGTGCGATTGACTGTGTCCGGGTCTGATTTCGCCAGAGTTCTATGTGTCGTTGCGTCGAACAAGAGCAGGAAACTCGTCGATGCAGTTGTGCTTGTATCACGCAACGAGGTGGCAATTGAGGGGTCCAAATTCGTGCCGACGCTCGGGCCTGAACGTGTAGATGGGTGGCAAGATTTGGTTATAGCAGGGCCGGTCCAAAACTTTTCGTTGCTTAGGGAGGTCGAGGAGAAAGTGTCCGCCATACGGGAATGTATAGGGAACTCCTTAGCACGACCGAGAGTGTTTGTTAGGATGAAATACATGTCCGTCTTTTCGAAAACTGCAACAGTCGACGATCCGCTGGTCCGCGTTTACGGATCGTCAATGAATGCTTTGAATGACTACGGTTCGCGACCTTGTCCCTGAGGAACCGCGATTGTCACAAGATCTGGACGTGTGGTTGGACATCCTGCTTAAGCGAAAAGAAGGGAGACGAGTGAGAGGCTTGTGTGCTGCCGAACATAGCAGAGTTTTACCAGTGGAGAAAGGCGCGGGAGGCAGCAGTTGCTAGTGCACGCCGTCTCTTTCCATGTCGCGCCCTCTTGAAGTTCGGATCCCGGCGAACTTCGCGGTTTGGCCTGTGCGTCCTACCGGCCTCCGAGCTTCGAGTGCTGAGCGGAGTTGGAAACGATCCTGCTACCAATTATGCCTGGACTCGATGAATGCTGCCATCGAAACCTGCGGTCGGCTGTGGAACCCCGGGGTTTTTCCTCGTGCGCCTTTGGATGTTTCTCTCTGTCTCTCTTTCTCGCGTCCTCCTGAAGTTCGGATCCCGACGAACTTCAGGAGTCGCCTGTCTATTGCCACAGACGGTGGTCTTCCGGATCCTTCGTGGATTCCGGCAACAGCCGAAGTCCGCCCTAATCCGAACTACTCCGATTTCCGATCTCACGTTATGCACAGCTTGGCACTGGATGGACCCAAGCTCGAAAGCGACAGTCGTGTCAACATTTTGTAGGTCCCTGGACTCCTCCATTTCAACCAGCCTTTCATTCCGGTGTGGCCTTCCTGGGTCGGGTTTGAGTTTAACAACCTTAGACTTGCGGATCGTGTGTCCGAGACGCCGTTTCTGCCTGTCGCATCGTTCTGAAGTTCGGATCTCGGCGAACTTCACGTTTCGGGAGGTGCGTTGCTTTGTCGTGAGTCTTCGTGGTTCCGGGTGGGTTGCACAACCCGCCCSGCAAYGGTTCCGGAGTGCGTTTGGTCGAGCACGGTTCTGGGACGCTGGCTGCATGGCTGCCTCTCTGTTCTGGTTTGGATCCCGGCGAGCTACTGCTGTTGGACTGTCCTGAACACTACCCCGTCGAGCGTGAGCTTCGAACATGACTGCCAGTTGATTCCTGCGAAAAATTCCCGAAATCTGCTTCCGCCGTCTCTATCTCACGCACYGTCCTTTTGTTCGGATCCCGGMGGACTTYGCSATTTTCACTGTGCGTTTGTCTGTCTTTGTTCTTCGGGGTGSCCCGTGTGCCGCATAAACAGCGCGTGATCCCATGCRCACTRCGARTTTTCACTTGCTTCTCYYTCTCTGTCTGCCTCTCGRTCTCTTGCCCGCTTGAAGTTCGGATCCCGGCGGACTACCCCTTCTCACYGTTCCGGATTTGGGTGCCYGGGTGTCTTCRTGTGCGGCTTTCGCTGCGCTSCAGCYTGYGTTGACGTGCGGCAGCGAGTGTTCTGTTTCTCCTGTGTTTTGACASACGTTGACTTCATGGTGTGCTGTTCGATTTGCGTTGYYGTTCGYAGACAGTATGTCTTCTTCCAAGGGCGAGGTGGAGCCAACAGGGACCTCCGGGAAGGAATCACGAAAAGATTCCACGAGGCGGTCGTCTATTGCCACGCAGGGGTGGTCAAACCATTCGAGGTCGAAATGGTTCATCGACTGGTGCTGTGGAGACGCTTCCAACCCCACTGCGCAGCCATGTGGTCCTGTCATCTTCATCGATGACAGCAGAAGGCGTAGAGTGCTTGGTGCCGTCTTGCGGTGGGAGGACGCAAAGGGGGGCCGGCGACATTTCTATATGCAGAAAGTTTATGGCGCCAAGGGCAACGTCATTGCAAATTCGAAAGGGACGTTGTTGGACCTGTCTCTTATACACATCTAGATGTGTATAAGAGACAGGTGGAGACGCTTCCAACCCCACTGCGCAGCCATGTGGTCCTGTCATCTTCATCGATGACAGCAGAAGGCGTAGAGTGCTTGGTGCCGTCTTGCGGTGGGAGGACGCAAAGGGGGGCCGGCGACATTTCTATATGCAGAAAGTTTATGGCGCCAAGGGCAACGTCATTGCAAATTCGAAAGGGACGTTGTTGGACCTCGAATTGTGTGAGGGGTTCGGAGCGGGTGCTGTGAACACCCCGTTCTACAGAGAACTCGTTCTCGGGGGCGGTTTTGTTTTGGCGCGTGAATTTTTCGACATGTTGGAGGACAAAAACATCGCTCTAGACATCCCCTGCGACATCAACCCATCCCTGGAGTTGTCGTTGCCATTGAAGCTGTACAGCGGTTGCGAGTCAAGCGGGGCAGGGGCGGAGGGCGGTGATCTGGGTTCTGGTCCCGCCACTCAGCTGCACCGTGGCGAGAGCCGAGGTCAGTTCGACGACAGCGAGGATGAGGGGACTGCTCCGCCGTTGAGTGACACGCGGCGGTTTGTGTTGTCTATTCCTGGGGTTCAGACTGATGCTCCTGTTCAGCGGAAGAGTACGGGGCCTGCAGTACACGTGGCGGCCTATTCGGAGGTCGACTTGGAGGCGAGCGAGGGACAGGGTGTGGAGGAGGTGGACGCGGGAGTCCTGGGCTCGCAAGGAGCTCCACAAAAGAGGAGGGTGGATCGTCCAGACGAGTTCACCGGTTCTACGAAGAAGTTAAAGAGCAAGGCCCCCAGGACTGCGGGGGAGAAACGCAAGGGGACCGAGGGGAAGCAGGGCCGCCAAACGACCGTCTTCGAGACAAAAGCAGCCTGAGTCTGGACCGTCTTCTCCACCGACAACAGGGACTCCCATCGACGTCGACGCCGGGTACTTCCTCGAGTACGAAGACAGCGTTCGGACAAAGTGGGAGTTCGACATTAGCCCTGCGCAGGTCGTCGAACTCGGGGACTGGGAGGACCTGTACAACCAGCGGTCCCTAGATCCCGTGCTCGTGGAAGGGATCAAGGAAGCGATGCGGTTGGCGTTCGAAAACGAAGCGCAGTCTTACGATTTACCAACCCTGAAACTGGCGCCGCTGAGGCTTGATAAACCGACTCCGAGGACCAGGGCAGAACGTCTGAGACCGGAGGATTGGAGGGATGAGCTGGCGGGACAATACTACTACTATGCGGTGTATGGGCAACACAACGCGGCTGCAGCGAGGTCGCTGCTCGACAACGAGGTGGCCAGGAAATACAATTTCGAGCGGTGGCCTGCACGAATGGTCTACTTTTCGGACGACGACTTCGAAGGGTACTTCCTTGTCAGTTCCCAGGACAACAAGAAGGACCTGAAGGCGACCCAACGACAGCTGAAGCTCTCAATGAGGGACGATAGGTGGCAGTGGAAGCGCGCCGGTTGCCCGCGTGCTGTTATGGGGAACCCCATCGGAAAACAGGATCAGGTCCGGAAGTGGCGTGAATTCTGTAATGTCGCACTCAACATGACACCGCACAACAACTTGTGGATTCTCGCAGATCAGCAGGGCGAGGAGGCCATCAGGAAAYAAGGCGCTKCCCTGCGTTCCTATTTCCCRYTGGCGATGGCRGGGGAGAACGTCTRGAAACTGGYCGTCGAGTTTYTCGAGAAATGGGAGACAGGCAGATTGCTCGGACACGACGGCGCAAAGTGGATCATGCGGAAGAAGAAAGTCAAAAATGTGAAGCCTGGGGTTGCATACATCCATAATGACAAGCTGGGCAGGAAGGAGGTCGTGTACAATGTCCCTGTGGAACCGCCGTGAAAGAAAGGCAAAAAGGAGAAAGAGAAGGGCGAGTGGTTCGTGCTAGTGCCAGAGCCGGACGCGCATTGTTGGAAAACGATGGAGTCGCTGACAGACAACAAGAAGTGTCGCGTCCTGAAGAAGGTGCTTGCTTGCGAGGTGGTTTGGGTACAGGTCGGCTCCCCAGCGTTGGCGAAGCTCGAAAAGTTGAGCGTCCATGAGGTGGTGAATTTGGTGAAGTGCGACCGGGTCCTGGTGCGTCTGTGGAACTACTACCAGTTCAAGCACGACAAAAGGCTGGACGCGGATTGGAGCCAGAGGTTCCCGTTCCTGAAATCAAGGTCTGCAATTTTCAGACAGTTTGAGAGTCGTGGTTTGGATGCTGAGTTGTGGGACGGGAGCACGAAATACGTCACCGACTCCTCGCTGTTCAAGGACTGCCCGCCCTACATGGGCTGCGACGACGACAGATCGATCGAGGCGACGGAGAAGCTGGCTCGTCACAAGAAGCTGTCCGTCGACTGGAGGAATAAGGTCCTGTCCGTGTTGACTGGCAGTAGACTGAAGAGTCGAGAGATCGCACTCGCCAAAGGCATTGTGCACATAAAATGGAATGACACGGGCGACGTGACATCCATCGCGCCATTCGGCAATGACCCCTTGGAGGCAGACATAAGGAGTGCGGAGGTGAAGGAGGCAGTGGTTGCCACAAAGAGTCACACGTTCGTCCTCGATCTGTGCGAACCGGTGGACCTGAAGCTTTGGAAACCGCAAGCGTTCGACACTCTGAATTCCCAACTCCAGACGTGGTGTCCATCGCATTGGACGCTCGTTGTTTTTGTCCCGCGGCAGCAGAACCTCTCCTTTCTGGCCAGCATGAACCATCTTTCTTTCGTCAAGCTGCTGGAAGGGAAGTGGGTGAGGAGGAGTCAACAGAAGAAAAGCTTCCCCGTCGGGAATAATTTGTACACGGAAGACGACCGGATGTACATACTCTTTAAAGGCGACGATTTGCGGGCCAACACGTTCGTCGTCTACGATGGGAAACTGTCGGCAGGCGCCGCTGCTGCAGTGCGGGTACCACAGAAGGTTACGCAAACGGATGTGTCCGACATCCCATTCAACGCTTGCGACTGGTCGCATACCTCGCCTGCATGTCGGGGCATTGTGTACGGGGACATGGAACGCAACCCCGCCCAATTCGTTCAGCTTCTCGAATCCATCACCAAGAAGGGGGAGGGTGTCATCTTCCTCGGGAAGCCACACGCGCGGTCAGTCTGGGAAGTACTGAAGGCAGGACGGCACGTCATCGTGATGGAAGGGAACTCCGAGCTCTTGCAATTTACAATTGATCTCGTCAAAAGCGAGGTCAATTCGGGTGCCCACAATTGCGAGTTTATGGTCGTCACCGAGACTCGGGCTCGCGCGTGGAACAACAAGACGGACATGTGGTTCAAGTTGAGTGCGAGGAAGCGGAACAAGATATACGACTTCTTGTTCCTGCAAACGCGGCCGAAGAGAGACACCGACGCCGAGTACGTGCGCCGCAAGGACCACATGTTCACGTTGCTCGACAACTACTACGGCGCCTCCCGCATGAACGCGAAGACCTTCCTCGAGAGGTTGCAGTCCCTTTACTTCGTGGAGTCAGAGGAGGAGCTGACGTTCGGCAGTTACTCCTCCTTGATCTCCACGGAAGACGAGGAGACCACCGGCATCGAGTTCGACGCAACCGCGGACGAGGAGGGCAGTGACAGTGAAAGCCTCGACCTGCAGTACGACCAACATTCTGCGCAGCACGGTACAGGGTCGTCCTTGGCAAGTCCGTCGACAAGCCCGGCGTCCCTCGTGTCACCGATGGCGAAACCGGCGCCTGGCACTACCCCGATGAAGTTGCTGCAGAGAATGCAAGCTCTGGCCTCCGGCCATCGCTCACTGCGTCCCGGGTAAGACATCCCGCCCGATCATCTGTCTTGGACGAATGCCAACATTCACTTCCTGCCTGAGCCTCAAAGTCGTTCCACGGAGGCGGACTAGGGCCATGACATGATTTGGCATCCAGGAGTCATCCAGCCGGCAATCCAAAAGGGTGAGTGGATCGTGGGGGTCGCTGTCCCGGACGGAGGATGGATGTCACTCCCTCGCGTGTCGAAGTCTGACTTCCTCGACGTTGCTAGAATTGCGGTCCTCCAGAAAGTGAGGGCCGAGAATGGCTCTTTCGAGCCCGAAGACGTGTCCGTCATTTCCACAGTCGGGCGATTGTTCGCCGAACTTCAGGACAAGTGCTGGTTGGAGCTGACGGAGGACTAATAGGACCTCGACACGAGCCCCTCGAAAGGAAGGGTGGACTGGAAAATCCCCCCTCCTAGTGGGACGCATGTAAGAACAGGGTCCCGGGGACCGGACGGTGGGGAGAACGAGGGCGACGAGGCTGGGGGCGGCAAACGAGTCTCGGGGCGACAACAAGATGGTGACGAGGCTGAGGGCGGGTCTCAGGGCGACACCACGACCGCGGAAGGCAGCGGCGGGGTGGTGGGGGAGGCCCTCGGGCGTCAGCAGTCTACCAGTCCCAGTCCGGAATGCTCGGCACAGTCGGAGGATGTGCCCAGTTCATCCACCTGCTCGGTGATGGCGGCCTTGGTTGCTCTCTGTGCCGGCTCGGTCGAAACGTTCAAGTCCGTCGGGATCCGAACTTCAATGCTTGCAGAGCGGACAGAGAGGATGGACGCGCAGAGCTGGTCAGGAGCGGGGGTGGCGAGTCCTCATCCCAAAATAGACAGCGGTGCGGTGAGGAACCGGACTTCGCCGCTTGTGGGGGATCGCCAACCGCTTCGGTCGGAGCGAGAGGGTGCGTGTGGAGGGCCCGGTGAAAGGGAGACGGCGAAGTTCGTCGGGATCCGAACTTCTCCAGGCAAGGAGTGTGGAGGGCCCGGCGACATGGAGACGGCGAAGTTCGCCGGGATCCAAACTTCTTCAGGCAAGGCGTGTGGAGGGCCCAGCGACAGGGAGTCGGCGAAGTTCGCCTTGGATCCGAACATCTTCAAGCAAGGGGGGCCAACCAGGGATATTGGTGCAGGCGGGAGGGGCTGCGTGCGGCGGGCGGGAAGCACATTCATCGGGAATCGACACGGGTTCGGGCGAAGTGGCTGCATTGCATGCAGGGGAAGAAGGCAGGGTGATGGACAGGGGAGGAATTGGAGGACGGAAGGGATGAAGGGGAGGAAGAAGAGGAAGGAGAGGAAGGGGAAGAAACGGAGTTGGCTGGGTTGCTAGGAGGGCAGGAGGGGGGAAAAGGTGAACTCGATACAGGAGACGACGAACGGACTTTCGGCGACGACGACGACAGATCTGGGGAGTCTTCTGACAGATTCGGGCAGCTGTACGGAGAACACCGCGAGGACGACGAGGACGACGATGACACGGCACTGGGTATGGAGACACAGATGGTCACAAGCCTTTCGGCAGAACGTGATGATTATGACGTCGAAGCAATGACGTCTGCCGTCGATCTCCAACACCGGTTCAATGAAGCTCGTGTAGCAGTCAGCTTGAATAAACCGAGTGTGCGTATTGACATCGAAGAAGTTATCAACGGCATCCTGGGCGACCACCAAATGTCCGCGCAGCTGTACTCGACGCCTGGTGTCGACGACCCTCTCGACGTCAAACCTTCCGGGGGATCTGTCGTCGATTTCTCGCCGACAAGCTCTTCGATGCTGCCGCCAACCATCGCCAGTGTAGGAGAACGCGGGATCGGGGGACGACAAGATGTCACATTTCCGAAAAAAATTGCCGCCGGCACTCGAGCTCTCGACGTGCTGGCCTTGCCCGCGCCAACTTCGCCGATTAAGGAGCGGAGAGACAAACCAGCTGGTAAGCAGTGACAAACGCCACTCTATCTGCGCGCTAGTGACCGCAGTGTCTGTCAATGCACACGAGACAAAAACATGTGTGTTTTTGTTGAAGCGTTCCCTCACATAATGGAAGGATGGTGTTTCTCTTTCGGAATGAGTGGTGGTTTTAGTCCGCCGGCATCCGCACTGCCAAGGCCGCTGCGTAACGCGGTTACTCTTCTGGTGCCTCGATTGGGAAAAGTCCGCCGGGATCCTGACTTCACGAATGTTTGGCCTCCAGGTTTGTGGCTTGTTGAGGTTTTACCTTCTGAAGGGTGGGGGTGTCGAGGTCGAACGCACTGCTCTTTTTGTTTTCCAGCGGGGCCTGCGCGGAAGTATTCTCTATCTCTCTCATGGCTAAACGGGGCTCTGTAAATAGATAGGTCCTGYGTCTTCTACATTTCGTGGTTCTTGAGTTGTCGTTTTCGTCGGGTTCGTCTTGGATTACGTGAGTTCATTTTTCGTTTTCTCTTCCTTCGGTTGCACAGGGGTTGGGTCATCTCCCTAGGTTGGAAAAGTCCGCCGGGATCCGGACTTCAGAGATGTTTGCCTTCCGCTTTTGTGACTTGATGTGCTTTTCCCTTCTGAAGGGCGGGGGTGTCGAGCTCGAGTGCACTGCTCGTTTTGTTTTGCAACGTGGCTCGTGCGGAAGTTCTCTCTCTCGCACTCTCATGACATGACGGGGTTCTGTAATTGCATGGGTCCTGCGTCTTTTAGATTTCGTGGTCCTTTAATTGTCATTTCGTCGGGTTCTTCTTCGGAAACGTGTATTCACTTTCTGTTTTGTCTTTCTTCTGTTGTACAGGGGTAGGGTCGTCTCGAACACGGAGACCCTTAAAATATCTGGAACACATACTGCATACAGTCCCGGGGTTGACGACAAAACACAAGGACATGTTAAAGGCGTCAGGGGTTGATGTCGAAATTGGGAAGAAGGAGCATGTCATTGCCATTGAGGAGTGTCTTTCCCTTCTGCCCCCAGAGAAAGGGACATATCCACGATCTGTGACTAGGGGTCAGGCCATGTATGAGAAATACTTAGCTTCTCGTCGTGCGATGAAGGAGAATCCTTAGTGTTCCGTTTCTCACTTCTCCCCCTGTCCTTCGCTCGATGTTGTGCAGTACGGGCCACGGCACCTGGAACAGCAGTGACTGCGATTGGAAGCTTGCGGGTTTTGGACGACATTGAACGAGGCTTTGTGCCACCTGACACTGTACTCTCGACCCTCCACGATGGTCAATTGCGAATTGCAACGAAGGATATTCTCACCCTCTCACTTACCGACGGCAGGGTGAATGATGAGGTGGTCAACTTCTACGTGGCGCTATTAGGAACGACCGCATATGGGACAAGTGACATCCCGCCAGACCTTCGAGTCTTCACCTTTAATTCTTTCTTCTTCAGTAAACTGCAACTTAAAGGGCACGACGGGGTGGAAAGATGGGCTAAAAACATGGATCTACTTGAATATGATATTATCTTTGTTCCTGTCCTCAAAGATAATGATCACTGGATCCTCCTTTACATGAGCTTGAGAAATAATGTTTTTGAGATTTTCGATTCTTTTCCTTGCGTTGTAGCCGATTTTAGTTTTTACCTTAGTGTTTTTGAGTTGATCGTACACTATTTGGAATGTGAAACATCACATAGGCGCTCGTGCAGGGCGCTGGAAGTCGGTGGCAGCAAATGTTGTTATAGAGGGAGTTGCAAGACAAGTGGATCAAGTTAGTTGCGGGGTGTTTATGTTGATGTTTACGACACTGTTGCAACGTGGCGATCGACGACCTTTCATGTTCTCTTCTAAAAATATTCCGTATATTAGACGACAACTGGCATCATGTGTCTTGGAATGTCGTTGTCCTTGATGGATTCGATTGATTTGCAAACTTCTGTTTCAGAATATTTCATATTTTAACTGTCGCTTTCACAACGACATTACTTTCTTTGAGTGTTGCGGGTTTGAGTTGTCTTTGGTATGTTGACTGCCAGTTTGGTGTCGCGTATTGCCTTCGGAATCTTTGTCAGGTCCGTCTCGTCTGTCGTGTCATTACATTCATCGCATTGCAGTCCTCGTTGCAAATTGTGTCCAGGTCATCCAAGGTTGTGCATATAATTCACCTCGAAATTATATTCGTGTGTGTGGTGCGACATGACGAATTGGAGTGTGGATGCAAGATAAATCTCGGCGAGTGTGTGGGTGTGAGGTTCGTTATGCAAAGAGTGAAAGACCAGTGACATCACGTCTCTTGTGTGCATAGACAGTTTTGTACTTGTGACCGCCTGAATTACATGTGACCGACAATTTTGCGTTTTTGACCGGGAAAAATAAATTGTATGTCAAAAATAACAGTTACTGTTTGTACTTCTAAAGAAGTTTGAATCTCTACAACATCCAGACAACCGCCTCGGACGAGACGATAGCCATGCATGTACAACTTACGCATAAAAGAAATAAATAGTATTATCCAACAAGGATTCAATCATGACAACTTGCTCATCACATTCACAAACTTGAAGTTTTACAAGTGTGGCTCCCGACACACTATCGCACATGCATCCCGGATGGGCCTGCCTGTCGCTACTCTACGTCTTCTAATATAATTATCCAACGAGGATACAATCATGACACATTGCTCGTCACAATTATGAAATTGAAGTTTAACAAGTACGGATCCCAGCACACTTCTGCACAGGATTCCCTGATGCGCGTGCTTGTCGTTATTCGTTTATGAAGTTTAACAAGTGCGGATCCCGACACACTTCGGCACAAGATTCACGGCACATTTCTGAAGTTCAACAAGTAAGGCTCCTAGCACACTTCCGCACAGGGTTCCCTGATGGGTGTGCCTGTCGTTATTCGTTTAGGAAGTTTAACAAGTACGGATCCCAACACACTTCTGCATGTACTTAAGTCGTGGATGGGTGTGCCTACGTTGCTTGGAATGCAGCGAAAAATGAATTCGTTAGAAAGAGGACACAGTATAATGTCCTATTTTAACGAATAACATGTTAAATGTCCTGAAGTGGCTGAAGCTTCTGAAAGGGGTTTCAGGTACCCCCATCCAACCATTTGGATAGGGGTACCTGAAACCCCATTCAGAAGCTTCAACCACTTCAGTGGTTTCAGGTCCCCACCTGAAATTCTTGAAATGACCTAAAGAGGCTAGAAAAACAGGCAAAAAAAAAAAAAAAAAAACCCATAAAACTTGTACTGCGAATCACCCGAAACTTTTAAAATGACCTGAAGTGTCTTCAGGCCATTTCAGCTGTTTCAGACCACTTCACAATCTTTCATTCTGAAATTCCAGGTGGTCGCTAAACGCGAGTGGTCTTTGTCCCCCTAGTTCTCTTTCTCGATCGTATGTTCGCACGTGCGCTACTCCTCCTCACAACTGCGTTTTCTTGTCTCCCACATCTTCAACCTTGTTCCCAACTTCTACTTTAACGATCTCTCTATTTACTTCTTCTTTCATGGCGCACCTCACCAACCTCTCGTCCATGTTCATGCGGCCTCTTGGTTACTTTGGCGGGCCCAACATCAGGCGTAGTGAGGATCCCGAACGCCCGAGCAACCTTAATGAGCACATCAATCACAATCACAATGGGGACGACCGCCACAGGGAGACGGTAAGTACGATCATGACGGCTACAGGTTAGTAGAAAAAAAACAGAGCGTGGTTGAAATGGTAACGAATGCGAGCGGACACGTCGCGCACGATGAGCGTGAGGGATCGAACACTCATGATGTAACATGAGGATCATCCCCACGATGGCGAATGTTATGGACTGCCTCGATCCTAATACAGGCGCGCGCGGTTATAACCGCTCCTCACTTACTCATAAAAAGGGCCAAAAGAAAATGGATTTTCCCCTAGATTTGGGAAGATTCATTGCCACTTGTTTTACTTGATGAAAAGGAAAAAGAAGCGCAGCCTCTAACCTTGATAATGCCAATACCGCTGCTCAAATTCAAAATCTGTCGTGACAATCTGATCAGGACTGTCTCAAAACCTACTATTAACATCTTCTCTTGCTCATTTTCACCGAGAAATGACCAAGACACACCATCTTCCTTCTCCCTTCTTCTTTCTCCCTCGACATCTCCGCGCACCCCTTCTTCCCCACTAACTCCTACTCCACTGGTCTAACTCCAAAATTGCCCTCACTATCACGTTCGCCCTACTGTAAAACCCCAAATTTGGCTCTTAGTTTGCCGAAATCCATTAGGATTTGAAGGTGTTATGTTATTTCCTCCTTGTCAACCCCTCTTGTTTTCCATCATCATTTTCGCCACCTATTTCGAATGCATCTGGCGCGAGCCAAGTCCAAATGCACTCTCCCTCCTTCCACTTTCCCTGCCCCTTTTCTTCTTCTGTGTGCCTTCCTCTCTCCTGTCTTTGTGAGAAATGGTTAACGAGTGCATATATTTTCAGGTCTCCTTTCAGGCAGTTCAGCCACTTCAAGTTAATACACTTTCGCATTGTGTGTGGATCTATACATGGGGTTGTCTGAAACCGCCTTCAAGCAGTTCAACCACTTCAGGTTGATCCATTGGAAATGGTGGGATGGGGGTACCTGAAACCACTTTCAAAAGCTTCAGCCACCTCGGCGGTTTCAGGTCCCTTCCTGAAATTCCTGAAATGACATGAAGTGGTTGAAGCTTCTGAATAGGTTTCAGGTACCCCTATCCAACCATTTGGATGGGGGTACCTGAAACCCCTTTCTGAAGCTTCAGCCACTTCAGCGGTTTCAGGTCCCCGCCTCAAATTCCTGAAATATCCTGAAGTGGCTGAAGCTTCTGAAAGCGGTTTTAGGTACCCCCATCCAACCATTTGGATGGGGGCACCTGAAACCCCATTCAGAAGCTTCAGCCACTTCGGTGGTTTCAGGTCCTCACTAGAAATTCCTGAAATGACCTGAAATAGCTGGAAAAATAGGAAAAAAAAAAAAAAAAACATAAAACCTATCCTGCAAATCACCCAAAACTTCTGAAATGATCTGAAGTGTCTTCACGCCATTTCAGCGGTTTCATACCACTTCAGAA